TAATTTTAGTTTAATTATACAGTTCTATTTTTTATTTGGTATTCCGAATGTGCCAAATTTGCCGTTCAGCTTTATGAATTAATATGCCTGTTGTATTTCTGGCAAAACTACCAGAAATTCAGAAATGGCCTACTCCCTCGAGTTCTTTATGAAGAACAGAAAGTCCATGTTTTTCTCTGCTTTTCAGCCATTCTCTTTGCCATGTGTAAAATCGTAGTAAATTCGTGTCGTGTGTGACTGCCTCCGTACGATTTTCGGATAAACTCAATAGTGACATGTGCCAGAGCTCACGGCGTTCCGACCTTCAGAATCGCACCGTGTACGCCCGCCCTTAGAGAAGTAGCTCCGGTTGGAATGTTCTTCCGCGGGATGTGTGCAGTTCTGTTTATTAACCGCTAGAGCGCCAAAAGTTACATATAGCGCTGCTTTAAGATAAGAATACTATTGGTCAACAATCTAAGCAACTACTCAAAGAATACTTTTAACAACACAATATAAATTATAATTTTTCACTCTTTAAGTGTGAATCTGGTGGTCTGATCTCTGACCTGAGGGTTGGGTGGAGACTGGGACATACGCTGAAACATCTCCAGAACTGTGCATTGTTTCAAAACTTTATTTTTCTTCTTGGGCACAAGACTATACATTCCCATCTTTCTTTTCTTCCTCCTTGACACGGCTGCTACTGAGGGAGAGACAGGTCTGGGTTCAACTGTCAATGCATAAAGAGAGAATTCTGGTATACAGGCTTGTTTTTAAGCACTTGTTTCTTTGTAAAAGCAATCTGATAATTTCCATGAAAAACTGTAAAATGTAGGTTAGATTATCTGCATTTCAATTTGAACTTGAACCATGTTTGATGTAAAGTCAAATATAATTGAGGAACATGTTGCTGCCAATTTGGTGCAATCGAAACTTCTTAACAACTAATTACAGTTTCACCAGACATTTCCATTTGTCCAATATTTTCACTGAGTAGCTGAGGTAAGCTGTATATTTTGTAAATTTTAATATGTAATCTGGTAGTGCCAAAAATACATATGTATACTGCATACGTAATTTTTAAAATTCAATACTTTATTTAATTTTAATAAAATGATTTTTAAAAAAAAACACTAAAACAAACAGTATAAAAAATAAATATATTTACTAAAGATTAAATTATTTAATATTAAAACATAACATTAAGCGATCTAAAAAATTTTGGGAAATTAGCACAATGGAACAATAGATCAATTTAAAAAAAAAAAATCTTTCATAAAATTATATTGTTCTATCAATATACTGATATATTGCCCATCCCAAACTTTTTTCATAGATATATGTAAAAAAAAATGTAAATGGAATACCACATCAAAAACGTTTTAGAGCGACAAGGTTTGTTGGAAACAAAGAAAGGCAATACAGTGTATAACCTGTTTGTGGCTTGGCTGGTGTGGTGTTCAGTACAGATGTGGCGTCAGTTTGGCTTTGAGGTAGCTGATTCTGGATTGGAGATGGCTGAGGCTGCACTGTCTCTGGTTTGCCTAAACTGTCATCTTTCCCCACGACTGGCTCCTTATTTTCCCTATTCAAAAGCTGAAGGAGGAACATAAATGCTATTATATGTATCCATGACCATGATTCATGAGACCTAAAAAAAAAAGACCAAAACACAGCATTGTCGAATGTTCAGTGCTGAATGCACTGCAGTCATGACTAGTGCAGCTGACATAGAATTTTTCATTGTGGTAAATCTTCATTACCTTTAGTGTCTGGTTTGAGGCCGGCCTTGACATAGTTTTGCGTGCGCGATGTATTATTGGTGGGGGTGTATTTGATACTGTGCCGTTTTTAGTCTCTGTTTCCGCTCGTCTTTCTGTTGGGCTCGGTCCTGGGCTTGCAGCACTGTTTGAAGAACCCTGGTCTGGTGGTCGCAATGTTGAAGCTGAAGTTGGCGAGCTTTTAGTCCCATGCCCCAATGTGGAACCCCCTATGGGAGACCAGTTAGTCCTGTGTGGGGCTGACACTGTGTTTTCCTGCTGTTTGCTTAGAATATATCCATTACTGCCCAATGTAGAGCCATGGGGCAGCTCAGTCTCTGACAATCCGTTCTCCATGGTTGAGGATCGGGCTGGTGACCCTTGTGCAGACAGGTTCTGTTCAGTTCTCTTTGTGTCCATATTTTCATAGGTCCCATTCAGCTCAGTGGCCTCTCTGAGAGGGTCAGCTTGCCCGTTCGAGTGATCTTCATCTCCTCCTATAAGAAACAGAACAGAAAAAGATTACTTGATTTCACAGTCTTAAGAGTTAAGTAATTATTCCAGGTTCAAAACAAGTCGGCACATAATATTGTTAAAAATAAAAGCAAAATTTGTGCTTAGAATAAAAGTAAGACACTCACAATGAAAGTAAACAGTGCCAGAGACCAGAAGCTAATATTCTGTTAAAGCACTTAAATTAATTCTTGTTTAAAAAAAAAAAAAAAAAAAAAAGGAAAATTAAATTAAATTAAATGTAAAAGTTTTGCAATATACAAAACAATTGAAATAAAACACTAAAGACTAAAGAAAAGTCAAAATGTGTTAAGACATGGCTATCAAGAGTGAAACGAGTCAAAATGTTTTTATCACAAATGCTCATGTATTAAAATAAATTCAGTATTTACCCTCTTCTTGATCACTGCGAGACTCTTTTGTCCCCTTGGACTTCATGGTTTCCCTCTTGCCTGAATTCCCATTGGCCAAACTGGAGGGCTGAAAACAAACGCACAGTTGCATTACTGGGTTTCCATAACATATGTAATACCATGGAAAAAAGTTGTATTTGCAAACTTTGAGTATTAAAGTAGTAACAAATAATATGTCTCTTAAAGAGAGGGGAGAGAGTGCATGAAGCCAATTGATGAAACTTTACAATGTCCAAGCCAGGCTGATGGCAGGAATAACCTGTCTAAAACAATTAAAGCGGTAATGAGAATGAAAGCGACAGATCAAATTAAAGTTTGGATCTAAATTAAATGACCCACTGTTTCTAAAAATAGCAGATAATCATTATGGCCACTGCCAAAAAAACACTGGCGAGAAAGGAAAAAAAAACATGGAGACATCCCTTGGGAATATGAGAGGCTTATCCCAAAGGTTCAGTCTAAACAACATCTGAATAACAAGGGCTTTGATTGGCTGGGCTTTGAGCTGTCAATCACTCCTGAGTCAAGGTAATATTTTCAAGAGATTCAATATCTCCCAATGCTTTAAGCCATGACTGGTTTCAACCAAAGCCTACGGGTTCATTATGCCTAAAAACTATAACCAATAATCAAAAAAATCATGTCTTTATTAAAAATGAACCAGTCATGACCAGGCCCAATAATATCATGACTTTTATAACAACAACAACATGAAAGAATTAGGAGGAAGAGAGTGGACACTGAGGCCCAGCATGCTCTTGCTCCCTAATTGCACCATTTTTTCTCTCTTTCTCGCTTTCATTTTACATGTTCTGGTTGAATTGGTCACTTTCGTTCTTGGCTACTGGTCCACCGGAAGTAGACAGCTTGATCCATAGCTTGATAAAGTCCATGTGGAACATCCCTCCTGCTACGGTAAGTGAAACAAAACAAGCCACAACAAAAAAATCCCTGTTTCAGTAAGTAGATTCAAATCTTCCTGCAAAAACAAAGACAAATTTGGGAAAGTGCTGAGACTTCATGAGGACTTCATTCCTCTCTAACCCTCTAGCCCTCAATGGATACAACAAAAAATAAAGAAACTGGAAAAAAATGTGCCAACATCATGCTGGTACCATCAGATGTGTCACATCCTTGAGATCTAACGAAATCACAAGAAAACGCAACTCTAGAAAGAGTGTCCGATGCCCAGAGGTCTCGTTCCTAAAGACAATCTCCATCTACAGGACTCCCATACAGTCGGACAGAGCAGATCAAGCTTACTTTGGCCTAGGAAGACACCTGAGATCATGTGTAATCCTTTGAGCTACTACTCAACTTACTACCACATCCCAAGTAGCCAGGAGAAACCTGCAATAACGTCAGGTGATCACCTGAATCAAGGATTCCAGCTTCACCCAATTCTCGTCACAGAAGAAGCATGTTTACAATAAACCCTGAACAGGAAACAAACAGCAAGGCATGAGGTGATGAGATAGACTTGTTGATTTTTTTGTCTGGAAGCAAAGACAGATGTCCTCGAGCCATGCAACTGAAGTAGTGCATCCAGTCTTACTCACACACCAGCTTCCAACTACTGGAGTGAATCTCTGCAGCCAGGCTCAAAAAGGAAGAGGTAGGTCACAGGGTGCAGTAATTACAAGCAAATCCGAGCTTTCTCCCACCGTTTGTCCCCTCCCCCACCCCAGCCTCGATCCCCAGACCTCATCTGATTGGCAGACACACCGGCTGCCTTCCGTTGCACAGCCAGAAAATGTCTGCCGCTCGTTGGAGCTGCTCTTGCAACAAAAGAGGTGGTGTGGCTTTCTGTTCCTATCTCTCACCACCAGGGGAGCCACTTCATAATAAGAGTCCCCCCTTTCCCTGCCCAAAGCAGGCAAGATCTGCCCCACTGACACTACAAAGACCCCATCCCACCTTATCAAATCAGTCCAACAGATTGTGGTTAAACTCCGAGGTCTGCCACGTCGGGATCATTCTGTCTTACCAGCATTCAGCTGCATCTCTGATGAAGTCATACCTTGGTTATTACAAAATGTCTTTTGTTTTGAGAGTACCCTTTTCTAAGACAAATCCTGGAACTTGAGCGGTGTTTCCCAACCATTTTTGTCTTCTGTGCCTCAACTGCCCCATCAGTAAAGCTCAAGCACCCCTCCATCCACAGTAACAGCAAATTTATTCATGAACGGAATCCAGATTAACAAGTCATTTGCAGTCTTTGTATAGTATTTGCATGTAATTAGCACCAAAGCTCAATTTATACAAGCGAAACATACGGTCATTAGTGAAAACGTTAATGAGAAGAAGAGTAAAGAAATCTGCTTCTGTCTGACGTCTTTATATATGACTGTCTACGAAATACCTTACAACTTAACTGCATTGCTTTAATAGGTAACAATGCATTAACCAACGAATGACAAAAACAAATAAGAAGATTTATCATATTATTTAAATCAATTGACAGTCATACTGTTTGTTTAAAAGGGTTAATACAGCAAAATCTAAATCCTTCAAGTGCCCCCTAGATCCCAGTTTGATCTACTGGTTTAAATTTCTTCAAAAATTAGTTTAGAGCATTATTTTTCTTATCTTAGAAAAACATTCTTAAAGCAAAGAGAGAACAGCTGAAGAGACATTCTTGACACATGAGAAAAATAGTCTCCGGAAAAGAAATGGTTGCAAAAAAGAACTCACATGTTAGAAAAAGACTTGTACTTGTACCATATAAATGGTTTCAAATATCTAACAATAGTATAAGAATCCATAATATATAGACTGACAGTGTTGTCTAGTGGGTCTCAATGGTCAACTAATAACATCAGACTAGCCAGGTTGACCATTAGCTAGGTTGACTATAATCCCATTTTTTTCTTATTTTCTTTTTAGTTTTAAATTTAATTAGCCTACTATTCTTTAGCTGTTAGAGAGTTTGTATGGTAAAAGTTCTCTCATGGAAAACTGCAATGAGAATAGAGTGATTAATACGACCTCTCAAGCACTCAATCTCCCTCTGTAAGACATTGCACTTCATTTTGTTGGACAACTGGGAGAAATGCATTCAGACACAAACACAAAGAGTGTGCACTAGCTTCAATGTTAAAGGGAACTTATAAGCAAACCAAGTTCCCTTCAACATCCAAAACTAAAACCAGTCTAGACTGGCAGTTCAGAGGCCTACACGCAAGAATATGAACAAATGCAAATCTGCAGCTGATTTTCAACAATTTGGCACCATCCCCATGTTGCACAACGTCACAGATGCTCTGACCTAACCACAGCTAGTATATCCCGATCTCTTGGCATTTCTAGCATGCATGGCGGTTTTCAGTGCTACCATTCACAGTTTCACAGGAAGAACAACTTGGCACAGCCATATTAAAAATGATCAACAACCAAAAAAAGCTGCATTTCCCATCATTTTCCATTTACAGATTCCAAGCAGATTCCAAGCAGACCAGCTGAAATGGATCCCATATCAGCTCCTATATTCCTCTCATTGAGAGAAATGCATTTGACTGCGATTATCCAGTTGTTTCCCTGGATCTCCCCCTACAGGCCAAAGAGGGAACATACTCCGTAGAGGAAAGAGGAGGGAAGGGCCTTCTGCTCCTTTCCACCATGTTGTAACCACAGTGTTTACTGATACGACGAGCCAGACGGGGAATGTTTTCCACTGGATATGGGGTACTGGATTGGGATTTGGGTGGATTGGGGATAGCAGACCAACAGCTATGTGTGGCGAGCAACATTTAGAGTTTAAATTAAAAAAAATCGAGATATAATATATGCTTGAAAACTGAATCTATATCAAATAACTCCATTTTATGCTGCTAAAAAGTATACATGCGTATATAAGACACCGGGGTTCGTAAACACATTCTCAGTAATTATCTGGATATCACCCAGTTCATATAATTGTCCCTATAATTACCTATTTTGGGGTCTATGGAGAATCACAATATCTTTGTAATTGAAAAAACAACAGGCCTCATTTTTTAGTTCTCGCAGCAAAGACTAACCACTAAACTGTGTCATCAGTCTTGTCACACAACCTGTTTCTTGTTAAAGCCTCTCTGCAACTGGACAGTTTCAAATAGTTCTCTTAGGAAACATACAAAAAGCAAGTTTTCAGATTTACTGTTGTCTCCTCGCACTGGCAGCCTAGGATCTCCCAACAGGCCTGGGCCTGCACATTTTTTTCTTCATGAACAATATGTCTATGTTTGGAAGAGCATACTACCACACTGCTCTTACCTTTTCTGCAGTATATTGTATGCATACTGCGAAAATTATACATGAAATAAAATTACCTACAATATTTGGCAAAATGTGCAAATACAACAGAGCACACAATAAGAAATACTACATCCCACAATGCAATGCCTTTTCCAGTGTGACAAACCAACCAAAAGTAACAAGCCATTTGATCTGACTGCCAAATTTTTTTTAGACAAATTCAGATTTAAATTGCAAAGTAACCATATTTATTTTCAAAACTGTATGGCACTAGTTTCATTTAAAATGAATGTGAAGTCTGACAATGTAACACTAAATATTGAAGCGTTTATAATTGTATAATGTCTACAGTTTCCAATGCTATTCAAAGTCGGCATGAAGCAGAAACTGTGATCGTCTTTCTGTGATGTATATCCAAGTGAAACAACTTCTTGAATGAGAAAAAAAAAATGTAGGACAGGATTTGATTTTGCCAATGTAGTATTGTTTGGATTGTTCAAATCATTGAACCGGTGCAATACGCCATTGGAAAAGAGATATCGTTATGAAAGCGATTTTTGATTAAAGATTACAAAGGCACAAGAATAAAAAAAATAATAATAATGTGCACAGATGAATCATTTATAATAACTGCAACACTCCATAAAAAATAAGAATCAAAAATTTTGATTTCATGGTGACTTTAAAGAAAAAAAGAAAAAAAAAAACAGCACGCAGAATGTTTTGGGATGCTTGATAGGTCTCCACTCTTTAAAGGCATCTAAAATTCTCTGGATCCACATCAATAAAGACGTCAAAACAGGCAGAATGAGCAAATACAAAGTAAAAAAA